GAATTAGTTTAAGACAAGATGTAAAAAAAAAAAAAAAGGAGACTCAAATCTGCAATATCTGTCCTGAGATTGGGATCCTGAGCCATCAGGCTGATAGAAGAGGAGAATCTCACTTGGAAAGTCAAAAGATAAAATAAAAGACTTGAATGTGGCCGAACTACAACTCCCAGTAGCTGAGGGCCATCATTCCCCAGCCCTTGATTAATTTATAGTTCACATTCTGAAAATCTTCTTTATAAGGAAGATTCTGAATAAGAATGAATTTGCAGTAACAGACCCTTTCAGCACCCTACCCCAGGCCACTCCGACCTGAAGCTATGCAGGTGGACTGGAGTGCAATTCCCACCTCCCTCTGCAAACCCAATGTTAGGCTGCATGGTAGAAAGAATATTCTTGCCATTTGCTTTTTCTGAAGTTTTTCATTTGATAAAGGCTTCCCATTTTCTTGAAAAATAGAGGTCTAAAGATAATGCTGTAGGGTCACCTTTCTATAGGATGAAAGAGGATTCCGTAGCCTTTCATACCTTTGCGATGGCAAGCAGATTATAATGGAAACAAACTCTTGCAAGTAGCCAAATCTTGATTCCCCTACGACAACAATACTCAATAATCTGCCAGTTGTCTCTATTGCAGTCTGCATTTGTTCAAATTCAAATTGGAACTATCTAGAGATGTTTTCCATTCCTTTCCCCAAATGGATGGGGGGCACATTCTCCATGTTGGAGCCTGATTCAGACATTTAGGAGACATTAAACTCCTTGGAGGCCCATTGATGCTAACGGAGGCAGCCAAACTCATAAGAATATTGAATGTTCCTGTCTTTCTTCTTTATTTGTGTATATGCATGTAGATTTATGTTTATATGATTCTGCCTTTTGGTTAAAAAAATCAGCCAGAGCAAGAGGTGTAGAATAGAAGTGGTCCCAATGGACCAGTACAGAGATAAGAGTGGCTGTTTCTTCTCCCACTGACCACGGTTGGCTGGATTTCCCTGGCTTTCTGTTCACATTTATCATTCAAGAACTGGCTCTTCTTTACAGCAATTAATCATCTAACAACAACAGGGCAACTGTTGCTTTAAATTCATGGCTGGACATTAACCAGCTCCATCAAAAAAATGTGCACAAGGAAGTCAGAAGATTTCACCCTCTTTTTCAGTAGATGTGGGCTGCAGGTCATTTGCAATATTGTCTTAGGAACATCTTTCCGTGATCCAAGACCAGGAACCAAAACAAATGGGGTGCACAGATTGTGGAGTAAAGGTGGGGTTTAAAAGAGTGGAAATCCATGGATGCTAGCTTGATGACTGTAGTGTAGACAACTCCTTGTAGCACCAATCACATACCTTAAATACCACTGACTGGGGAACAGTAGAAGTAGAAGAAAGTTGAATGTTCTCCTGTCCATGTTTGTGAGTTTTGCAGATTCACCGGATTGTCCATTGTGCGGCTTAGAATGCTGGATTGAGGGCCCCTTACCTGGGTCCAGCAAGGCTCTGATGTTCTTACAAAACACAGCACTTTCAAAGTTGATCATGAGTCACAGGTTAGTTCCTTCATATCTGCACTGAACATTTTCAAACCTTAGGCCCCAAAACTGTTTTTCATATCAAATATTTGCTGTGCGATTATCTTGCCACATTTGCAGAAGGTTGGGGCTGGGACAAGGTAACATTAAAGTCAAATCAAATAATTTATTACAGACAAGAGGCCAGAAAAACAGCAGAATAAAACCTAGAAAGTGTGTGTGTGTGTATTCAATTATAGCTGCCCAAATCCAATGGATTCTGGGTGGCATATAAAACCAAAAAAAATTCCATAAAAACAGATATAACCTAAAATCACATAGACACTAAAACAGAACAAAACAGGGACCCCCAAAATACAACAATACATTAACCCCAAGCCTGGGTCCAAAGCCAGGTTGATAGAGAAAGAGAAAGAGAAAGAGAAAGAGACGGATATATATATATAAAATCAGTCTACAAGTAGTAAAATATAATGTAAACTTTATAACAAGGAATAAAAATACAACAATGCAAAGTAAGGAATAATTAAAATAATAATCATAAAATAGAGCAACATAAAATACAAGTAAATAGATGAAAGTCCAAATCTTCAACTACAAGTTTTATATGCCTCAGAAGGCTAGTATTATTGTGAATGAAGAATTAACTGAACCATATCATATTCAAAAAGGAACAAGACAAGGTTGCCTTTTGTCGCCTTTGCTCTTTATTTTGGTTCTTGAAATTTTTAATAGAGATATTAGAAGGGATGAACAAATAAAGGGCTTAATGATCAAACAAGAGGTTTTTAAACTGAGGGCTTTTGCTGATAACTTAGTTTTGATACTACAGGATCCTCTGGAATCTGCTGAGCGTCTGATGAAGAAAGTGAAGGCATTTGGTTCATTGGCGGGTCTTAAAGCAGATAAACAAAAAACAAAAATGTTAATCAAAAATATGACCTTGCCTAATCAGGATCTGTTGATGAGTAAGACGGGCTTCAGGACTGAAAAAAAGGTGAGATATCTGGGGGTGATTTTGTCAACTAAAAACAGTATGTTGTTTCAGAATAACTATGGCAAAATTTGGAATGAAGTGAAAAAAGATTTGGTAAGATGGGGGAAATTACAATTGTCTCTCACGGGGAGAATTTCTGTGATTAAAATGAATGTTTTGCCTAGGATGTGGTTTCTCTTTCAGACTATACCGATTATGACTACAGATTTACCGTTTCAACAGTGGCAGACAGATATTTCGAAGTTTATTTGGCAAGGCAAAAAACCAAGAATGAAATATAAATTGTTACAAGATGCCAAGGAACGAGGAGGTCTGGGTCTGCCTAATTTAAAATTGTATTTTGATGCTTGTTGTTTGCTTTGGATGAAGGGTTGGATAACTTTGGAGAATAAAAAAATATTACAACTTGAAAGTCACGAACTTAGATTTGGCTGGCATGCCTATTTGTGGTATGATAAAGTTAAAGTTAATAAGGATTTTAAAAACCAATATATTAGGAATGCTTTACTGAGGATCTGGAATAAATGCAAGGTAAGATTGTCTCTTAATGTACCTCTGTAGCTATCACCTCAGGAAGCATTGACTAGAAGAGAAAATTGAAGTGGTTAAAATATAAAGACTTGTTAAATTTTGAGGAGGGTGAACCAAGTTTTAAAACAAGAGAACAGCTACAGTTGGAAGGCTTTATATGTCATTGGTTTACTCATATGTACTCCTTTGAACGTTTCAAGTTGGACAAAAAGAATTATAGATTTGCCAGTGAAACAACTTATTTTGAGATTCAACAAATGATGAACATGTTATTGCTAAGATGTATAAGATGTTGTTACAGATGAATCTAGAAGATTCAAGTCAAGGAATGTATGATTAAATGGGCTAAAAACTTTGGATACAATATTATGTTGGAAC